AAATTTTAATATATAAAATTTCGAAATTTTTTCAAATTTTTCAAAATTTTAAATATTATTAATTTTTAAATATATTCTTTAATCTTTAAATAATTTAAATATATTCTTTATTTTTTGAAATTTTCGAAATTTTAATATATAAAATTTCGAAATTTTTTTAATTTTTGCAAAAGTAATATAATATTTTAATATCAAAAAAATATATATTAAAATGTTGAGGGAGTCCGGTAGACGGTTCGTGGATATGGGCGACGTCAACCGAAGATTGAGTAAAGGCAAAGCTAAAGCCACCTCCGACGGTTCGACCTCACGCGGACACGGTTCTCGAGGAAGACACTCCGTCTCTTCGTTTCCTACTGTCCCAGATCATTTAATCGGGGATGCTATGACGGATGAAGAATTCAACCAGATTTATTCTTGTAGAGGAGACGCGAATCTCCCCACTCTTGATAGTCTATTCGAGGATGTTGATGAAGCAGGACTGGATAATTTAAAAATTGCAAATTTACAATTTTATAATTTAAAAATTTAAAAAAAAAATAGGAAGGGGGGGGGGCGAAACCGGCCGGTCCGGTACCGGAACCGGTACCGGCCGGCACGGTATAATATCCGGTTACTCGGGGTGGCGGTACCGGAACCGGAACCGTCCCGGAACCGTACCGTGTCCACCCCTACTCTAACATTTTAAATTTTCTAAAAAAACTGAAAAAAAAGAATTTACCTCAAATAATCCCTTATTTTCACTTGTTTGCATATAATAAGACTTTCAATAAAATCCATTACTTAACAGTTGCCTTTCTAACGACGATCCAACATTTGCACAATTGCACACACGTAAAAAGGTGAGCTACTTATGCTTAAAAATAAAAAGTGAAATTAGTTTTGAAAAACCGCGAATAGGGCCAGTCCGGAAATATAAAAAAATGAGATTGGGTTTGTGCAAAATTCATGTGTTGCACCTATTTTGTTTTTTGCAGAGTACGTGTGCTTCAAAATTAGTGGCCTAAATTTAATTTTTAATAACTGCTTTTATAACAATTTGAATATTAAAATATAAATTTGTACTTCCTCCGTCCCAATTTATTGTGCCTGTTTCAGTTTACGATGTTTGACTGAAATTATTTTTCAAATCATCTTATATGACAAAATATAGAGTTAAAAAATAAAGCATACATATTAAAATACTATATCAAAAAATCTATAAAACTAATAGTGACAATAGTACTTTATTTTATCAAATTTCTAACAAACATAGAGAAAGAAAGAGAATAAAATTTGACCATTTGAATAGTAAACATGCATCATAATTGGGACGGAGGAAGTATTAAATTTAAAAATATCATATTGGGCCATTAAAGTTTAGGGGCCCCGTGGGGTGCAGCACACCCTCCCAGCTGCCCATGACCGCGAAAAAAGTAGAATTATTTCAGATAATTTTTTTCTTTTCAAAACAAAACAAAAAGCAAATACATCCTTAAAATAAATGTAAAAGTGTTAAGATTTTGCAATATTGATGCTAAATACGGAGTAGCTAATCTGTGAAGATGGACTTCTCACGTTGTTTGGCAAAAAAATATTCTTAAACTCTGATTAGTCAATGTTGAAAGGTATACCATGACTCCATGTCTTGAGGACGAAGTGATGAGTAAGTTATTTTTGAAGGGAACTGATGAGCAATTTGAATACACATAAAATGGTAAATGAATGATAATAAAAAAGTGATCCCTTAATGTAACACTGAAAATTTGTTAACCATACAAGCAACAAAGAACACAAGTCATTTCGAACCGTAACTACGCTCTTTCTATCTGAATGGTGACATGGCTAATATTATACTCTCTCCTAATATAATCGATGACTTTATCCAACACCATGTCAGCATCAGCATCGGGCTTAATCTTGACATGGCATGCTAATAAAACTTTTCCCACAGTTATAGCCCATATGTGCAACTCATGGATAGCCACAACTTCCTCCATCTCACACATCCCCTTCTCCAGCCTCGTCGCGTCAATCTCTCGGGGCGTGCTCTCCATCAGCACCTCAAGAATGTTGCGCAGCATTCTAATGGTTGTGAACAGCACAACAAAGGAGAAGATGAGGGTGCAGAAGAGATCGATTATCTTCAAGTTCGGTTTGTACCATATGATTCCCCCGCCAATCATCACCCCTATGCTTTGAATAGAGTCTCCAAGGACGTGAAGATAGGCCCCTTGGATGTTTATGTTCCTTTGCTTCTTTTTAACATCTTTTGGTTCGGTGCCACCTTCAGAGCAGGCGGCGTCGAGCAGAGGCTCTGAATGATCTGCTGCTGCCTCATGTGCGTGGTGGTGGTGGTGATGTTCGCCGGGTTCCTCCTCATCATGATTATGGTGGTAACGGTTGACTGTAATTTCGTGCCTGTGTTTGTCATGAACATGTCCGTGCGCATGGTCATGACCATGTCCGTGACCGTGTCCATGATCATGCCCAAGCAAGACGGCCATGATGATATTAACTACTAAACCAAAGGCAGATACAACAAACATTAGGAAGCCCTGGACTTCGCCTGAATCGTGTAAAAGTCGTTCAATGGCTTCATAAATGAGAATCCCAGTAAGAAGCCAAATCAATTGTATAGAGACCAAGGCGCCAAGAATCTCAATCCTGAAGAACCCATAAGATTGCCGAGGGGTGGCTTCCCAACCTGATGCCCACAGGGAAAACAATGATATTGCAAAGGCTGCAACATCAGACAGCAGGTGGGCGGCATCAGTTAATATTGCCAAACTGTTTGCTTTAATACCTCCAACAACTTCAACACTCATGAAAATGACACAAAGTACAATAGCAATCCAAAGCTTTCTCATTGCCGATGCACGCTCTTGTGCGTCCTTAGAACTGGTGTTAGCATCTGAAAACCCACAAGGTCCTCCCCCGCAAACTTTACTCCCCAAAAAACCATTGTTAGCTACCGGAGCATCACCTACCTCAATAAGAACCTCTGTGGCCATCTGAAAATTACAAAGTCACCATCAACAAAGCAATACATACTGTGTAGTTCGACTTAAATAATTTTGGAATCAATGAGGCAAAGCATAAAAGCAAATCATTTACAATAAAGGTACTATCACTAAAAATGAAAACAAATGGAGTGCAACATAAAATGGGTTGCCAATTGTAAACAATTAAAACAATATTAGGAAATCAGTTTAGTGACAAAATTTCTAAATTTATAGTGATAATTAACAACCTAGAAGCAGCAGATGGAAGAGAATTACAGAAGACCAACCCTTAAAGATTCTACTCCCTCTAAACTGATAGAGGTATGCCCAAACACACACACAATATCACTTTACAAATCTCACTACATTATATACAGAAAAGATTGTGTTACCTAGAAGATTCACAAATTCTCTAGCACTTAATTTAGAACTTGGCATGAAATATACTGGAGGGAAGGGATACAATGAATAACTACAGTATGTATATTTATGCTCCTTGGTATTCCCATTCAAATAGCTTCCTCTAAGCCACTTTAAAATCTAAGAATCATTAAATTAAAGTACACTACACATCTAAGTAAAGCTGAATTGTGGATCAGTAATTGCACAAAATATTTCAATGAACTTCTTCAGGTCGAACAATTAAAGAATAAGGAGTATTAAAATGCCAAAGAACAACCTGGTGGTGATATGGCGTGAATCTATAGACAAAATTGGACTATCTATACCTAATCAAGAAAAACGGCAATCGTAATCGGAAACAGATAAAAATTGTGAATTTATACTCAAAAATTGAAAATTTTGAAAACACAGACACAATCACTCTACAAAACATGCCATCAATGGATAATCATATGCCTGATAGAGAACCCTAAAACCCCCGAGCTAAATAATTTAATATAAAAAAGTTAAAAGTGGGATTTTTTTATTCGAGAATCGAGGATACCATCAAGATTTAGAAAACTTTTTAGAATCGAAACCACGAAGACCTTTACAGAAAGAGAATCGCTGAATCTGTACCTTTAGGTCGTGATATTTGATTAGAAGAGGCGTGAACAGAGTTTTCCTCCGTACGACAGGATGAAAAGATGATGCCAATGGGGACGTTAAGAGCGAGGGATTTAACGTTTTGCTCTCCGACCCTATGTTGGATAGGACTGGAATTGAGTCTCGTACAAGTTTTGGTCTTATGATTAGGAGGGAAAAAATGATTAATACTCGTTAAATTATTCCATAAAAATGATTAATACTCGTTAAATTATTTTTTTCCATCCTCTCCGATAGAGCCAAAATTTCACCATTTTTTGGCTTTTGAGTGTGATGGAATAAATCAAAATGGATCTCTAAACTGTCTGTGCTTCTTTAATTAATGAAGCAGCAGTTAGTCAAGCAATGCAACTTTCGACGTTGAGCCGGGGATCTCTTTGGAAATAGCATCTCTACTTTCGAGTAGGGGTAAGGTCTGCGTACACACACCCTCCCCAGACCCTACTCTTGTGGGATTTAACTGGGTTGTTGTTGTTCCGTCTCTAGTTTGTCTTGCATTTCGAACATTTAATTAAGGCTTTGTTTGGTAACAGCTTTTTCGATTAGTGTTAGCGTTTTGGATAAAATTTTGACGGTGCAGATTAATTCTGAAAACGCTAACGCTAAAAGTTACTGTCGGATACCTTTTTCAAAACGCTAACGTTAATCTCTGACGCTGATGCCAAACGGAGCCTAAATATATATTGAAATATACGGAGTTCAATGAATTAAATTTTAAAAATTACAACATAATATTCATATTGATACATATTTTTTTTATATTTTTTTAATAATTATTTTGTAATTTATTCTAAGATATATTACTCGTAAAATATTTGGTACAAAAAACGAATTGTATCATTAAAAAATGAAATGAATAATACCTTGACGACATGTTGCCATGTTCACTTCAAGTCATTTTTGTTAAAATAATGCAGCGGGAATAATAATAATAATAATAATAATAATAATAATAATAATAATAATAATAATAATAATAATAATAATAATCAGTACTTATAACACATTCGGATTTTACAACGAAAATTAATAATAATAAAAATAAGTACAAGAAGTCGCCGGTGGTCGGAAATGAATAGAGAAGGAAGGAAATCGTAGTCGTCGGAGCTTTCCTTAAGGTAGTATCACCTGCCTCCTGCACTGGCAGCAACATTGACGATCTCCTCCCAAGATAAACCCGCTAAGATTAGACCTGTGCAAACAAGGGTCGGCCCGTCCGGCCCGCCTAGCCCACCCTTTAAAGTGGGCGGATATGGACAATCTTTAATACTCACATGGGCGGGTCGGCCCAAGCCCGAATTCTATTTGGGCGGATCTGGAAGTTACTTTTAGCCCATTCGGGCCAACGGGCCCGCCCATATTCATTAAATACATTTACTTTATTACTAATTAACTAGACAATATAAATTTTAAAATTTTCTTTAATTCATGTATACTACTCCCTCCGTCCTAAAGTATTTTTCCACTTTCATTTTTACACACCATCTAATGTACTTTTTTAATCCATTTTATCTTGTAATTTGTATATTAAAAAATCATAGAAATTATATATTAATAATCTATATGTTAAGACAAATCAAACAAGATCACACATGACTATATTTAGGCTTACACATTGAGAGAATTTGATGAGTCAAAGTGCTTAGATGAACAGTTTCAAAAGTCAAAAGTGGACAAAAACTGGGGGACGGAAGGAGTAGTTCATATCACTCACCCCTCTTAAACAAAAATCAATAGTCTTTTAATGAATTTGTATGATGGGTTTATTAATTATGTAACAATATTTCTATTATGTTTTCTATGTAAATGTGGCGAGTGGTAATTTTTTTAAACATTTGAAAACGAGTTCGATATTTTCTTTTTTATTTTTTTGTGTAAAAAAGATTTACTTGATATTTTATCCGGGCCGGGCGGCCCGGTGGGCAGTTCAGCCCGCTAAGGTGGGCGGGTATGGGTAAAGAGTTTAGCCCATCAAATCCGGCCGGGTCCAGCCCGCCCATGAAAATGGGCTAATAATTTGTATGAAGCCCGGCCCAGATCCGGCCCGGATCCTTATTTGCACAGGTCTACGGCGCTAACGCACAAGATCTAGAGCGAAGAGATTGTGCTGTGAACTCGCCCTCCTTATATAGGAGGGGAGAGACTCAAAGGGACGGATGTGGGCGGACAAACCAAAGGGTCATGAAGTCCCTTAAATGGTGCATGCATGCCAACACTTCGTTATTAATGAGGCCAACACGTGTTTAATATATATATGTAGCATGGTCCTATAATTCTATTTAAATTAAAATGAAAAATATTATATTTATTTTTTAAATAGTATTTATATTTTTTCATATTTATTTTTAGTTATTTTATATTATCATCATAATAGGAGTTCGTATTTTTGTAATCTAAAGGAAATAATTTCGTTGAAGGCCAGTGATTATCGCGTAGAAAATCTGCGGTCAATTGTTTTCTATGGGAGATCTACTGGTGCATCGTATATAATTTATTTCCGCTGGTTTACTCGGATATTATGTGGCGTGCTAACATGTTTAAATTTTGCCACATAGACATGTCAAATGTCGAATTTCTGTGCATCTGAGTCTCCTTTATTATATTAATGGATGGATGGATTCAATGGTGATGCTATGGATTAGAAGCCCTCCACGAAGCGCCTGTTGTAACCTGCCAAGCCGAGGAAGCTCCTCACATCCCGCGCATTCCTCAAAGTCTTCCACTCCGTTACAGCTGATATCTTACTGGGATCTACTTTGATGCCCTCATTGGAAATCACATGCCCTAGGAACGTGACTTCGTTGAGCCAAAATTCGCACTTTGGCAGCTTGGCATAGAGCTTGTGCTCTCTTAGCACACTAAGTACTGTCTACAAGTGATTTGCGTGCTCCTCCGGTGTCCTGGAGTACACCAAGATGTCGTCGATGAATACTACCACAAACTGGTATCGATAGGGACAGAAGATACTGTTCATCAAGTCCATGAAAATTGCCAGGGCATTCGTCAGCCCAAACGGCATCACTGTGAATTCATAATGCCCATAACGCGTACGAAAAGCTGTCTTCGGTATGTCTTCCTTCTTCACTGGGAACACCTGTGGACACCCGCAGGAAACTTTTGGCTACCGCCGGTCCCGCTGCCCTGGACCCCCCCCCTCTACCGTCCCATTGTGGTAGCATTGCAATACCTCACTTTTACTCGTTCGGATATCACCTATGTAGTTTAGCAGCTTTGTCTCTTTCTTCATGATCCTCGGCTACCACATGTCATAGTCATGAAGCGCGTCTTGCGCTACCTGCACGACACCCCTACCCACGACATCACCATCTCACCTTATCAGACAATTCATATGCGGGTCAACTCAGATGCTAATTGGGCTGGTTGCCGAGATACTCACCGATCGACGTCCGACTACTGCATCTTTCTTGGCGATAATCTCATTTCCTGGTCCTCTAAACACCAACTCACCACCTCCTCGTTCCAGTGCTGAGGCAGAATATTGCGTTGTTGCCAATGTCGTGCCTAAGGTCAGTTGGGTGCGTAATCTACTATTGGAACTCCGGCAGCCCCTGCCACGTTCCACATTGGTCTTTTGTGATAACATCAGTGCCGTCTATCTCTCTGCCAATCCAGTCAAGCACCAACGCATAAAGCACATTGAGGTTGACATCCACTTCGTGCGTGACAGAGTGGCGCTTGTCCAAATAAGAGTCCTTCACATACCTTCCTCTCTACACTATGCAGACATCCTTACCAAGGAACTACTCTCCATGGTATTTTCTGAGTTCCGGGATTGCTTAGGCGTGCGGCGATCCTCCTTAGAGCCGTTGGGAGCATTTAAATATATATTGTTACTATATTTAATGTTAATGTTAATATATATTGGTAGATACCATATTTGTATAGGTTGTATTAAATACGATTTCCTAGTATAATTAGGATACTCATGTACACAAAGACATGTAATCTCCCATTATTCATTATTGGAAATTATTCATTATTCACAATTTAGTAAAAAAAGATACTATATTTAACAATATCGTAATATGACATTGGTGGCTTGGTGCCCAATATCTAAAAAGGGCGGACTGTTGGCATGTGTGCAGCAATTGTCCCGTGGCGGAGGCTATGTGGGCCAAGTCACAGTCGAATGTCGTGGGCGCTTGTGTGTTGAATGCACTATAAGGCTAGGGTATGCGCATCTTCTAACACCAATTGGTTTTAGAAGAGTTGGTAGCGCCTGAGATCCTACAAGTGGTATCGGAGCCAAGGTCACGAGTTCGATTCCCAGCGGGAGCAATTGCTGAGGGGGAGATTGTTGGCATGTGTGCAGCAATTGTCCCGTGGCGGAGGCTATGTGGGCCAAGTCACAGTCGAATGTCGTGGGCGCTTGTGTGTTGAATGCACTATAAGGCTAGGGTATGCGCATCTTCTAACACCAGTTGGTTTTAGAAGAGTTGGTAGCGCCTGAGGTCCTACACGGACCTCTTTGAAAATAACGTTAGAGATTAGTGTTAGCATTTTGAAAAAGTTATCTAGCTACGGAAAGAGTTTAGGGTTTTCAAAATAATCTACACCGTTAAAATTTTATCCAAAACGTTAACGCTAATCTTTAATGCTATTCTCAAACAAGCCCGACAGCATTTAACTTTATTAAACCCTAGAAGATCAACAATTACAGTGCTTAAATTAGCCAAAAGAAAAAAAAGGAGGAACTCTTTGCAAACACTCCATATACGGAGTTTAAGATAGAAACAACATGAATTACATTTTTAGAAGGAATAAAAAACTTTTTTCTAATAAAAACATTTTGATAAAGAAAAACAACTATGGTGTACTGTATAAAAATAAATCCATGCAATGTTAGCCCAAAGACACAATATTATACAAATGCATAGATAGAGTGAAGGTACACATACACGGTCCAACATAATTATTTTGTTATTGTACATGTCCATTAAATAATTAAATATCTATGGACTATGGCCATGCCACTCTACTCTCCCAACACTTATTTATACACAATTATTAGGTTATATCTGTGTGTGTGTCTATATATATATATATACATATATATATATATATATATATATATATATATATATATATATATATATATATATATATATATATATATATATATATATATATATATATGGGCCAGTTCAGATGAGAATGCACCTTGGTGAAAGAAATAAGAATAAAATCTAGCCTTTGGATCTAATGTGTCGTGCGGCTCAGATTGCATCCTGCACTAAGATTTTGAGATAGTGCATTTTCAAAGGATTTTGATGCATTTTGACATGATGCATTTTCAAACCATTTTGGTGCACCTAATTTTGATGCAATCCTGACCCTTAGATCTCATAATCTAAAGCACCAAATTCATTCTTATTTCTTTCATAAGATCGCATTTTCACCAGAACCAACACACACACATACAAGTAGCGTAACATTTTCTTGCAAACATATCTTTATCATCATCAAAATGATATTTAAAAGACTCCATGTTAACTTTTACTTTTTGCATGAATGTTCGCTTGAGTTGGGTTTGGATCTCCTTGTTTGGATCGTCTATATCGGGTGTTTCGTTCTCCCAATTGATGAATTGCATCAAGATATTTGGGTCCATGTCGAACCCACGTGAAAAGAACCTGTTGAACTCATCGCCCATAGTGCTTCTCTTCCTCATACAAGATTTTCATCAATGTTGTTGTTGGACAACCTCGGTTTGGCAGTCAAACTTCTCACTTAAAAAGATCCAAAATCTCTCTCGTACGAGAGTGCTCAGTTCACTTGATACCAACAAACTTACGTGCGTTACTGGCCACCATTTAATATTCTCCCATTCTAAAAAAAGGCTTCTAGTTACTATTCACAGATTAAACTAACTCTGCATTATTTATACATTTTCATTGATCATTTGATACGCAGTATAATAAAATAATCTTATCACCACTTGTTTTGTAGAACTTTTGGTGTAGTTTTTTAACATATAGTTTTTGTTTTTAATTCTATTCCAAATATTACTTATATTGATTTGAGAATAACTTCTATTAAATATTGTAAATTAAACACGAGTCTTATTTTAGGGTACAGGTAATGTATAGTAATTATTATTGTTGTTGTTGTTGTTGTTGTTGTTGTTGTTGGGGTAAAGGACTAATGGCCATGGGCTGGCCCGAATAATGCGCACCCTGGTGATAGACACCGACCGATTTGCATGTATCCTGGACTCGGGCTATAAGTGATGTCTTGCCCGTCAGTTGGGACACACTTGGACACGTTACAAAACCATCTAAAGCCCAAACAAGGAGTCAAGCAAGAACCGTCCTAAGTCAAACAAATCACTTCAGCCGCAACTACCCATCATGACCTCTGTACAACACATTAAATGCGCATGCAGAGGCGACGTCTGAAACACATGCTCGCCGCTAGCAAGCATGGTACAATGCTACCTAATGTGGGAGTATGCTTTCCCGCTAATTCCCCTCAAAATCTCCTCTCTCTATAAATAGAGAATGGAGGGAACATATAAAGGGATCACATTCTAGAGGGAGAAAGGAGAATGATATTAGGTAGTGTTTGGCAATTAGCATTTCATTTCAATTCATGCATTTCAATTCCAAAATTTGAAATCTTGAATTCCAAATGATAAGAGGAGGTGCACAGATTTCAAATTAAGCTTTGTTATGAATGAGAAGACTTTGACTCAAATCCAAATTCAAAATTTTTAAATTTTTCAAATTTGAGCCAAATCTGGATTTGAAATCTAAATCCATGTTTCCAAACATACCATTATAGTAAACTTCACGCTTATTGTATTCGAGAAAAGGCAATCGAGCCATACCCTCTTACCCAATATTCCATAAATAAAATAGAGTTTCCTTATTCCCTAAATCCACTCGGGTGATCCTCAAATTCTAAGGCACCTACACCACGTCAGGCCCAAAAGAGAGTGTTGGGCTTTTGGGCTCTCTCGGGGCATTAACTCCAATAATAATTAATATTGTAGTAGCAATAATAATAATAATAATAATAATAATAATAATAATAATAATAATAATCATCATCATCATCATCAAGGTACCGCCCGGATCTAGAACCACTGATACTTGTTCTAACAACGGTCCCACAGCGATACCATGTCCACCTCAGCTTTCAAGTAAGAAAAAAGTCTCCATACACATAGGGTAGAGACCCTACTTTTATGAAGTTTGACTGGATTACTGTTATCAAAAAATGTATAGACAACTACTCTCTCCTTCCTGGAGTATTCGTTCAGTTTTGACTTTTGAAACTGTTCATCTAAGCACTTTGACTCATCAAATTCTCTCAATGTGTGAACCTAAATATATTCATATGTAATCTTGTTTGATTCGTCTTAACATATAGATTATTACTCATTCCATCCGAGAATGATGTTCCCAGTTTGACTTTTCTTCATTTTTAAGGAGAGTTGACAATTAGAAGTAAATGTCCAAAATACCCTTTTTTTGTTAGCATTGCCCCTGCCCTCATCAGGCAACTACCACTGCCTTCCCTCCCATCAACGCAGCCGCCCACCCCCCACTATTGCCGCCCCCCTTCCACCGTCACTGCGGCCCTCATCGCCTCAATCTCCGCTACAATTGCCAATCCCATTAGACCCGCCTCAAAATCTAAGGTCTAAAAAGACTGAGTAATAAAGGGGAGAAGAAAAACATTTGCCCCGTCGTCCCTAGCCCCACTATCACCACCGATCCTACCATCGCTTCCATCGCCACCGTCATATCTGGTACAGATCGGTTGTAGATCTGGGAGTCAATCAAACATGAGAAAGGAGGGTAAAGGAGCAATCTTGGAGAAAAAAGAGGGCCGATTACGGAAAGAAAAAAAAGGAGAAGATCAGATCCCAAGAAGGATCTAGAGATTTAAAAAAAAGCCAAGAAAAGAGAAGGGGAGAAGAGAGAAGGGAGAGAAGAGAGAGGAGAAGAGGTGGAGAGAGAGAGATCGAGGTAGAAAGAGAAAGGGTGGAAGAAGATAAGAAAGGGGTGGGGGAGAGGAAAAGTTGAAGAAATGGCAGGAATTGGGTGAGGAAAGGAAAGGGAGAGAAAAAATAAAGTAATTGGGTAGGGGTATTTTGGGTAGTTTATGTGTTAAAAAGTAGAATCGGAATATCATTTCTGGACGAAAAAAAAGGTAGAGTGGGAACATCATTTCCGGACGGAGGGAGTAATATATAATTTCTATAATTTTTTAATATACAAATTACAAGATAAAATTGATTAAAGAAGTGTATTAGATGGTGTGTAAAAATGAAAGTAGACAAATACTCTGGGACGGAGGTAGTATTCTTTAAAAAATGAGAAAGTTACACATTTGACTTTTCTTGGTCAAAGTTTATAAACTTTAACTACGATTTGTGGAAAAAACATATTGTATTATGATGTAAATTTAATATCAATATATTCATAATGAAACGTAGTTTTCTAATATCAAATTTTTATAAAATATATCTATGTATAAATATAGATATTAATGATCAAAATGCAATATTGAAGACCGTGAAAAGTCAAATGGGAAAAACATTTCCGGACGGAGGAAGTATTTTCTAAAATGATGAATAAATATTCGTATGATAGAAATATGATGTTTGAAATCTATAATTGGAAATAAATCTAATGGCATAAACTTCACAATGTAATTAAATATAATTTTCAAACAATGTTTAGTTAAAGTTCAAGAAATTTTACCAAGAAATGTCAAACAGACTTGCTTCAGAAAAGGAAAAACCAAAGGAACAAAATGTCTAACATATGATAAACATAAGAATATCAACAAGCAAACGATGGTGTGGTAAGAGAAAATGATTAGATTTAGGCCTTCTTCTGAATGGGGCATACTTCCCTATGTAGTAGTACATCCAAAGTGTGATGGACAAAGACCAAGGTCAATTAAAAGGAAACAGAAACTCAAAAAACTAAAAGATTCACAATGCTACTTTCTCCTTGGGTTGAAGAATGGGCGGGTCAACATCGATGCCCATATTAGCTGCAGTGCCAGCGATAATCCTCATTGCTGACTCAATGCTTGAACAGTTCAGGTCGGGCAACTTTTCTTGAGCAATACCTCTCAACTGATCAATGGTAATTTTCCCAACTTTCACCTTCCTCGGCTCGTTGGAACCTTTATCCGCTCCTTGAAAATCAATCAAAATCATTATTCAAAGCTGCATCTCAGATAAAGCACCAGATTTGATTCGTTTGAAGAGCAGGCAGACACGTAAGTGAATGAAGTCATAAACATAAAACATGTTAGCTACACTAATCCACACCAGAAGTAGCATCAGATCTTCAACTTCAAGGTAGGCAACAAGAATAAACAATAACTAACTACCTTAAGTATAATATGTTCTTTAAATTACCCATATGTTTAAAACGTTGACTGTTTCCAGATGAAAACTGATGAGCGTCGAAAGTTGCATTGACTAACTGCTGGAGTACTTTACTATTGAAAGTTTAAAGAATCATTTTGCTTTATTTCATCATACCCCAAAGCCAAAGAAATAGTGAATCTTTGGTTCCATCAGAGATGATGGAAAAAACTTACCCACCAAGTATTTGCAATTAGACGATAGGCTGACAAACCAAACCAAACAAAGCGAGTACATCTCACTCAAGTGCAGGGTGTGTGGGGGGGGGGTACTCATATTTTAGTATTAAAAATGATCTTAGTTTAATGACGTAAAAATTACCCGTGCAACGCACGGGTGTGATACTAGTTACATCTACGTGAAAGAAAAGATAGGCATATTACAACGTAGCCCGAACTGTGAGTGAGAGCAAAGACCAAAGAGTATAGAGGAAATGAAAAGATAGTGCAGCTTGTCAAATTACGAAAAGATGCGTTGGGGAGTTTTTCCCACACCAAAAAAGAAACAAAAAGATGTCGAACATATAAGTCTTATGATCTCTCCTATCGCCATTTGGTTTTAGCACGGAATCCCCATGGGCTTGTATACTGGGCCTATTGCGTTTACGCACGAACTGGCGTGTGCCCCCCCNCCCCCCCCCCCCCCCCCTCACACGCTATTATTGGCCCACCAGACATTTATGAAGATGTGTTGGATCTAGCCATCTTCTGTATTTCTGAAATGATAGTCTCTGGGTCTTTTCACAACAAATTCATAGTTACTAATTGGTATAGAGTCTATATGTAGCATTGAGTTAAGGAGGTAAAGAACATTAAAATGCCCCAATAAATTAGTTGAGGGAAGTTAAGGCATATGAATGTGTGTTAAAGGTTCAGAATTTGAAGTTGAACAGTCAATCCTCTGAATTTCAGATGGGGGAGAGGTTGATTAGCCAAAACATAATTACAACCTTCTGATTCAATTATGATCAGTTCATAGACAAAATATTTCATCTTTCAGACTAAGAAGAGAAAAAACGATAAATGTTTCTACAAAATCTAGCATCAAGTAGCTTGATTCCAACTAGTTGGGGTCAGTATATGAAACTAATTAGCACTACAAATTCACTTAATAAAGCATAGACAGAATTTTTTTTACATCGCAAGTCACTACCTTCACGGAAATGAATATTCTAAAACTGTCATCATTTTAGGTCATTTTCATATGCAGTGGAAGGCCAAAAACCTACCTGCCGCCTTAAGTAACAAAACAGAAGCAGGTGGTGTCTTCAAGATAAAAGTGAAGCTTCTGTCCTGCATAAATGTCAATTAACAATGAGCATTCTTAGATACCTTAATTACAAACCTCACCATAGCTGTTATACTCAAAATCCAATCAAACCCTTAAACAACAAATTAAGCTTAAAGGGGATTATGAAAACTCAGATCCCAATACCACAATCTCAATCTTATAACCAAACAACAAGCCGATGGTCGAAATAGAGTAATTGAGAAACAAAGAACTAACGTCATAGATGGTGACTTCAACAGGAATGACATAACCAGCTTTATCAGCAGTCCTAGCATTGTAGTCCTTACAGAAAGCCATAATGTTGACACCCTTAGAACCCAACGCCGGTCCAACAGGTGGAGCGGGCGTAGCCTTCCCCGCCTCGAGAGCCAGCTTTACCACTCCGGTAACTGCACACCACATATTCAACACCCAATTTCAATCCCAAAAAAGAAGTAGAGAATTCACACGGAATAGCAAAAATACAACTACCCATTGATATAATTTGGCACCTTTCTTAGGTTTTCCCCCGGGTGTTTTGGGAGGAGCCATGCCGACCACAGTGAGAGTCCTGGGAGAGGAAGTAAAAGAAGTACGCTTCCTGCGACTATGGAGGAAGTGCAGAGAGTAGCTGCCTGGGTTCGAAGGAAGATCGAAAGAAGGCTTAAGAGATGAGAACTTTCTCCCATTTCCGCAGAGATGGAGGCTTGTTGACGACAAAGAAGCTGCCATTCTGCCTGATTTCCGGACGAGAAGCCTTTCAAAGATTAGCTCGAGCGACAAGTACTAGATGAGTAAGATAACAAGCCAATCCTAGCCAAAAAATTGCTCCTGGGTACCCCTAATTTTGAGATAAAGACTAGCAGGTCTCATTGTTTTTCAAAATATACTCCGAGGTACTTTAAGATATTTGAAAACTGACTTCGGGGTGACAATCCGTCATTCTCTCCGTTAACATTTCTTCTCCGTTATCCTCCTCCTCTCCTCTTCTCAAAAATTTACTGCCAGGTACCCCTTATTTTCGGATAAAGACTGGCAGGTCCCATTTTTAAAAAAAATTTACTCATGGGATGATGTTTGTGACTGAAGAGGAAACTTACGTATCATTTATAAAATTAAAATTATTTATTCACTTGGTTATAAATTATACGTCGTAATTAATAATAATATTAAATTTAAAACTATTTTTATTGTTTCATATTATCTTTAGAAGACATATTAAATTTAACACTATTTTTATTGTTTCATTTTATTCTTTTCTCAAATCCTCTTGTTTTCTCGATTTACCATGACACCATTACCAATGACGACTATCAATGACTAATGCGGAGTACTATTTTTTTAAATAATAATAATTGTTATTCCGTATTTCTTAAAAATAGAGTAATAAAATTACTACTCTGCAATTAACTTTTAATAATAATTAAGGAAATAATAGGAAATACATAATACTCCCTCCGTCCCGCTATATTCGTCTACTTTTGACTTTTGGAACTGTTCATTTAAGCACTTTGACTCATCAAATTCTCTCAATGTATAAGCCTAAATATAGTCATGCGTGATCTTGTTTGATTTGTCTTAACATATAGATTATTAATATATAATTTCTATAATTTTTTAATATACAAATTACAAAATAAAATGGATTAAAAAAGTGTATTGGATGGTGTGCAAAAATGAAAGTGGACAAATATAGTGGGACGGAGGAAGTATTATCAATTTTGACCAAAAAAACAAAAGTAGAAAAATACTCTAGAACAGAGGAGTAATTAATATGAAATAATAATAATAATAACTAGTGGTATTTTTTAAAAAAGTATAGAAGTAAAATTACTAATTAATTGCTTAAAATAAATAATAGTATTAATAATAAGTGTTATTTTATAATAAGTGCTATTTTTCTAAATAACAATTAGTGTTTTTATAGAAAAGAGTGGTAAAACTAACAATTAATTTTTAATAATAATAGTAATAATAATAAATCAAAAAATTAATAATAATAATAGAATAAGAAAATAATAATTATGAAGTAATTAATTATAATAATTATTAACAAATAATAATTATTATAATAGAAGAAGAAAAAAACAAAAGAAAAGGTAAAAGAAGAAAAAAACGGGGGTGGGGGAAGAATGGAGGTCACTGGAACTCTGGAAGGCAGGAGAAAGAAGAAGAAAAGAAGAAAAGAAGAAGAAGAAGAAGAAGAAAAGAATGAGACCTGCCAATCTTTATCCGAAAATAAGGGGTACCTAGCAGCAATTTTTTGAGAAGAGGAGGAGGAGGAGGATAACGGAGAAGAAATGTTAACGGAGAGAATGACGGATTGTCACCCCCGAGTCAGTTTTTGAATATCTTAAGGTACCTCGGAGTATATTTTGAAAAATAATGAGACCTGCTAGTCTTTATCTCAAAATTAGGGGTACCCTCAGCAATTTTTTGAATCCTGGCGGAGGCAATTGACCTCTGGTGGCCTGGGTCGAGTTGTAGTCCGGGCAAAAACACGGAGCCCGCCCCCAACTTAACTTTTCGTTCGGGCTAAATGCCATTCTTTCTCTGTCCATTTGCGGGACCTCAAACTTTTGATTATATAAAAAATATATTACTCCTTTTTCCGTCCCTAAATATTTGCAATAATTTTTTTCAACATTCACATTAACTTTGTTTTATTTATATATTTTTATTGGTTATTTGATGAAATAAAATACTATTGACACTTTTTATTTCGAATAATGTTTCATGTAGTTTTTGATATGTAAATTTTATTTTTTATATGTATACCAATATGTAAATAAAATGAATTGAAAAAGCTTGATATTTACCTCGGGAATACAAGTGTGACAAATATTTAGGGACGGAGGAAGTATTAAATTAGAAAAACAATTTTTACATAGTTAAATTTGCACTAGGTAGTAGTAAAAAATATAGGTCATTTCTCATTGTAACATTTGAACTTTTATATTCTCTAAGGCTCCGTTCCGTAAAACTTATTTTTTATGATCTGATCTGATTTTAATAAGTTTTGATCTGATCTGATCTGATCTGATTGGATCTGATCTGATCTGATCTGATTGGTTCTGATCTGATCTGATTGGTTCTGATTTGATTGAAAATTGTAATGATAATTCATATTATAATATAATCAATATTTTTTTATGATTATTTTTTAATGAAACAAAATTAATCAACTCATATATTAGAATAATCATTCATATTATAATGTAATAATATTTTTTATTTTATGATTTTTTTAATGAATAATATTGATTTAATATTTTAATAATTAGTTTATATAAACATTAGAATAAATATTTAATTTATATATGCACTAAAATGTTATTTAATATAGATAATCAATGTTGTTTCTAATGTTTATTATTTTTCATTTTTAAGAAAACAATTGTGCTTCATATCATTTATTTTAGTCTATATAAATTATAATCACACAAAAAGTTTCATGTTCTTTCTTCTTATATTTTTTAAATAGAATTAAATTTATTTTTTAAAAGAACCGTATCAAGTGAAACAACTAAAAAATATGGAATTTAAAAAGTAAGGAGTAATAAAGATATTGATAATGATAATAGTAGTAGTAGTAGTAGTAATAATAATAATAATAACAATAACAATAATAATAATAATAATAATAATAATAATAATAATAATTCTTATTTGGATCTGATCTGGTCTGATTGGATCTGATCTGATCTGATGAGATCTGATCTGATTTGATATGATCTGATCTGATTGGTTCTGATCTGATCTGATCTGATTTTAATAAGATTAAGAAAAAAGTAGAAAAAATAAGTTCAACAGAACGAAGCCTAAATGTTGTTATTTAATTGTATAATGACTAGTGGATAATGACCAGTGATATTATATTGGAAAATAAAAACATATGGTAAATTGGGAAGTCATTATATGTTAGTACTATTTAGGTAAAATCCTCAAATTACAAAACTACAAATGCTTTCATCAATATAAATTAGTAAACTCTCCATCCAAAAATTATCGTTTCACCTTTTTTTAGTGTGTTTCGAAATAATTACCTTATTTGTTTACTTTTTGATAAAGTAAAGAATATGTGATCCATAATATTTCTCTTCTTCTCAACAAATTTTTAACCACCAATTTTTTATTTTTAAAAAATTTTCTTACATATCGTGAAGTCAAACAACGACAATAAATTTAGAATAGAGGGAGTACATAATTGTATAATTCTAAAAAAATACATATTTGTATAATACATTGTGTATATTGAAATGTGTGTGTGTGTGTATATACATACATACATACATACATACATACATACATACATATACATATATATATACATACATACATACATACATACATACATATATATATATATATATATATATATATATATATATATATATACTCCCTCTGTCCACCATAGATCTCCCCATACATTATTCACAGGATCAAATTTTACTCGCTTTGTTTGCTCATTTTTACTAGTTATTTCGTAAAATAATATAGTCTTGTCACATCTAGTTTTGTAAAACTTTTCATGTTGTTTATTACTATATAAATTTTATTTTAAAATTTTACTCATATAATCAATTAAATTGAATTGAAAATAAAGTCACTCAAGCCTCGTAACGCGTAATGGGAAGATCTTAAGTGGACGGAGGGAGTATATATAATGTGGGCGAGCTTGTTCGCCCATGCAGACCAAACCTAAAGCCCAACTTTGGCCATATCATATTGCGGGTCGGCCTTTTTCGGCCCACATATAAATTATCCATAACTATCTACTTTTAAGGGCGGGATGGACGAATTGGACGGGCTGTCTGTAGTCGATTACTAAAGTTTAAATTCAAAATTTAATATTTTCTAAAGGGGTAAAGTTTTACTTGGTCCTTACATTTTTCAAAATTGCTTCTCAGATCCCTAAATTATTTTAAGTGTTTTTGAGATTTCTATACTTTCTAACTGATGCACAGATAGTCCCTCGTGTGATTTTTCCGAGCAAAACCCTGACACACCGTCCTACTTTCTTTAAAACTTTTTTGAATCAAATTAGGAGTAAACCATAGTAAGACTTTTATTTTTGTTTTTTATACGAGGTAATGTTTAACATCTGGGAGCACATTTTGAATCAAATTAGGTATATTTTCTATTTTTCAAAAAATGGAAAAATTGATATTATATAAAAATCGTTCTTTAAAAATATATGTTATGGCTTGGGCAAAAAAACTGTAAAAAATCTTGATTAGAACAATTAATAAAATATAGGAACCTAGTAAGACTTTTACTCTTTTCTAAACGTTGAGAATCTTGATTAGAACAATTAAATCCTAAATAGCATGGATGCGACTAGGGAGCCTACAAATGTTTCAAACATGTTCCTTAGTTTAATTTTGGGCAAATTTAAATATTTAAAAAAAAAATCATCCTAAATAGGAGCAAAGAGTTTATTGCACCATGACCCCCAATGGACTGTGGTTTGATAAATATGCATCACTATCCCATATTGTTTCAAAACTTATGTCATTCCCGACATGATTTTGATATTGCTACACCAATGCCCCTTTGACTAAAATACCCTTCAAACATTATGTGAATAGCTTCACTGCTTCCTATGCTTTCGAAAATTGGCACAAACGCCCCATCTTCTTTTATTGTTTTTCTTTTTTCTGCTACTTTTTTCATAAATGCTTTTTAATTTCTTTTTTTAAGATTATTTTTATAAAGTTTAAATAATCAATTTTTTTGTTTGCAATAAAAATCAATTAAATAACAAGAATTAATGTACACTTTATTCGTCTCAAATTAAATATACTTACTTTTTTGTCCAAAAGAGGTCTTT